CATGTTTCTCCTCTCTAAGTCTCCACCACTATCCTCTTTATAAATATCTCATAATTCTCTGCCTTTTACACACACACAAACAAAAAAAAGTGAATCAAGAAAAAAAATGGAAGAAGAAGATTTCTATTTTCCCGACACCGATCTTGATCTTAGCTTCACCTCCACCGTCACCGACCGTACATTCGCCTCCTCGAGCGGTCGTTCAAGCCTCACCTTAAGCTTCAACGACAGACTTTCCACTTCCTCCGCCATAACAACCTCTTCCACCTCCACCGTCAACCACCGTCGTCAAGATCCTCACTGGTCAGCAATCAAATCGGCGAAACTTCTCTCATCCGACGGAACCATCCACCTCCGTCACCTGAAACTTATACGCCACCTCGGCACCGGAAACCTAGGCCGAGTCTTCCTCTGCAACCTCCGTGGCGACTCCTCCGCAAGATTTGCCCTAAAGGTCATCGACCGGAATAATCTGACGACGGCCAAGAAGCTCTCTCAGGTCGAGACGGAGGCTGAGATCCTCTCCTTGCTAGACCACCCTTTCCTCCCTACGCTCTACGCTCGTATCGATGAATCTCACTACACGTGTCTCCTCATTGATTATGCACCAAACGGAGACTTACATTCCTTGATACGCAAGCAACCTGGTAACCGTTTACCGATTCAGCCGGTTAGGTTTTTCGCCGCCGAAGTTCTCGTTGCTTTAGAGTATCTTCACGCAATGGGAATCGTGTACCGGGATCTCAAACCGGAGAACGTTTTGCTACGTGAAGATGGACACGTCATGTTGTCAGATTTCGATCTTTGTTTTAAATCCGACGTTGTACCCACTTTCAAATCTCGCCGCTACCGGAGAACTTGTTCTTCTTCGCCTTCTCTTCGTCGTCGCAAGAGCGGTTGTTTCTCCGGGGAGAAAAAATACGAGAGGGAGGAGATCGTTGCGGAGTTTACGGCGGAGCCGGTGAGTGCGTTTTCACGTTCTTGCGTCGGAACACATGAGTACCTTGCGCCGGAGTTAATCTCCGTCAACGGACACGGAAGTGGAGTTGATTGGTGGGCGTTCGGAATATTCCTTTACGAGTTGTTGTACGGAACGACACCGTTTAAAGGAGGTAGCAAAGAGCAAACCCTGCGCAATATAGCATCGAGCGACAAGACCGTAAATTTCCACGTGGACGACAGTGATTCGGAGGAAGCGAGGGACTTGATAGAGAAGCTTTTGGTTAAGGACCCGAGGAAGAGGCTAGGATGCGCCAGGGGTGCGCAGGATATTAAACGTCATGCGTTCTTCGATGGGATTAAGTGGCCGTTGATTAGGCATTATAAACCACCGGAGGAAGTTAGAGGTCTTGTGGTTAAGAAGTCGACGAGAGCACATGGTGGGCACGTGATCGCCGTTTCACCGCGACTGAAGAAGTGGGTTTTGTGGAGGGCATTGTGTAATTTACTGCGCGGTAAAAGCTCTTATGGTGGAAGTAAAAATCAGAGCAATAGTAATTACTATCATTATATTGGCAAAAGCTACGCGAGTCGTAAACGCGTTTAAGGCTGCCTCAAGTTTTTGTTTCTTCTTCGTTAAACAACAAAAATATAGAGCGAGTTGATGTGTGTATTAATGTATGTATACAATTAGGATGTTACGATTTTGTATATGGATTGGAAATTATACGAGAAGAAATAGTCTTTTGATTTATTTTGTCATATCTTCGTCGATATTGTTGGCAAATGAATGAGTGCAATAATATTTATCATTTCATCACTTACGGATTTTCGAATAAATATTTATGTATATAAAATCACGCATATTTTCAAGTTTACAACTCAACACAAATAAAACGGTAACTACTTCGTGACTTTTATATAGAGAATGTAAGAGCTAATAAAAATTAAATAGAGTAATTTGCAAATGGCTAATGGTTAACAATAGTACGACTATAGACTATAGTGAAAAAAGTTTACCAAAAATATTATCGTGTGATTTTGTTTTTTCTATGACATCCCACCTTGTAAACATCGATAAAATGTAAAGTTAATGCATAGTCCAGCGCCTTGCCTCCCTCTGGTAACCACTGCTCTCCCTCTCCTATAGTCCTTTTCTAATAGTTTACTCCGAGTAATATTGACCGACTAATAACTGTTAATGAAATTTTCGAAAAAACTTACTCCTCTTCCCTCATAGTCTTACTCTTCAAGTTTTTAGTGTTGGACAGGAAAATTCAAATAAATGATGGAAAAGATAGATGTAAAAAGTTAACTTTGGTTGAAAGATTCATTATAAAGATAAGGATTAAATTTCGAGTCTTAACACTTTAGTTTCAATCATTCTTTAATTATTACGACGTTTTACATAATTTGACATTAGTATAGATTTCGGTCGAGATTCCGGTTTTAAACAAAAAGAAATGGGGCTAAAACCCATCATATTCAAATAGATTAGGGCAAACTATTGGGCCTTACCGTAAGGCAGACTAATTCTCAATACAATCGACTGAGAAATGAGAAGAATGCTAATAAGTAATTGCCTGTTCTCAATGCTAATAGTAATAGCCCACACCGTATCTTTCAACGTATTATTTTGTTAATTATAAGAAACAACATGATACAACTTCTGATTCTGGTTGGACTTAGAGCCTTAGACTGTAGACACACAATAATATACAAATTATTAGTCTTCATATTTTAATATGTATAACATGATTGATAAGGATTTTAATGTGATCCCAATCTGTTATGATCTGAAAATTGATATACGAAGTGACGAAGAACTTAATAGAAAAATGAGGAAGAAATCAAGAGGGATGATTTTATTCGACTACCTGTAAAACCGCAACGAATGGTAAGAGAAACGGGAACACTCACAATCTCTAGTTCAGATTTTTGTTTCCGTAATTTAAATATGACACATTGGTTAAAGATAACGTTTTAAAACCCAAAATATATGGTTGGTCCGACCACAATCTACAAAATATTATAGTTCATAACTTCATATTAGTTACCGGTTTACCATTTATGTGAAACAACATATATATACATAATTCTTCATGTTTATAAAGTACTTTCAATGATAGATGTAAAAGTTTATTTTGGTAGATTTTAATCCTAAGTATTTTTTTTGGTTTAGCAATATATATTTCAATACGGTTTGATTCTATTATTTGATGCTCTAAGAGATAATGAATAAGGTTGGTTGACAAAATATGAAAGTTGAGATTAAAAAAGAGAAGTGAACCAAACAAACCTGCTCAAGCTCAAGTGGTGAAACCAAAGATAAGATTTGCCGGTTATATGTTCCCTCTAATTAACTAAACCCAATCTCAATGCTTTGTCTTCTTTCAACATTTCTCCTCTTTTCATGCCCACCTTTCTCCCATTTTTACTCATTCTTCTTATTTTATATTGTCTTGAAGCTCTATTAAACAATTGTAGTTGAGTTAAATCATTTCCTTTTGATGGTTAAAACCAAATAACATCAAGCAACAGCTGTGTTTACCGCGTTTCTTACATTTAAATAAAGGTACCAATAACAAGATCTTTTTCTTTTTCAAGCAATTCTCTAGACTAACAAGTTTATATATAAAGTTTCAAAAAAAAAACAAGTTTATATATATTTCTGCATGAATTTAATTTTTAGAAGAGTTGAATTTCGAATTTTATACTTGCATCTTGTTCTTATCCCTACACAACACCACATTCGAATTTGGGTCTAACAATAATGTTGAATAAAACAATATATACGACCTTTATAAAAACAAGAAAAAAAACAATATACGATTACAAACTAAAATGTGTTGGTAACCATTCTTCCATAACATAATAGTTTTTTTCATTCCATTTTCCAAACATACCACAATTTTATAAAATCTAAAGAAATACCACCGAAATATTTTGGAAGGGTTCGTAAACTTTTTGAAACCTTCCTAGCTTTCTCATGTCATTTTGATTTGTTAAATTTATGTTATTTTCATTTAGATATGGTATTTAAAAACAAAATATTTGCAACCCATAATAAGTAGAGTAAACAACAAGAGAATAAAATATTTATGTCCAAAGCTATGATTTCATGAAAGTGTAGTTGCTTGGAGAATTAAAAGGGAGCCATGCAAATCCCAATGTCAATGAACCAAAAAAATCAAGACCACGTTCATCTCCTCTTAATTCATTTTCTTTTAATTTACTACACCTCTTTTTTCTTTTTCTTCTCTATAAATACTCTTCAAAATCCTTTTTCTCCTTCATCACAAAACATTGATCATTTCTCTCTCCATCATCACCCACAAAAGGGTTTTTTTTTTTTGCCACCCAAACTCATATTCAACCTTTGATCAGTAATATAAACAGACCCTAATTATCAACTCCATATATGGCAAAATTCAAGAGAAAGTTCAACAAAGGTCACGCTTTTACAAGCAAATGTGTTTCCTTGGTGAAGGAACAGCGAGCTCGTCTCTACATTCTCCGCCGTTGCGCCACCATGCTTTGTTGCTGGTACATCCATGGCGATGAATAGAGAGAGAACCCTTTGGCGTCTCCTTCAAATCAAC